CGTAAAATGGATGGTATATTCGTTATCAGGACCTCAAATACCCCCTAAACGCAAGTTTTCAGCAAATTTGGTGAAAACAACCTTGGCGCCAAAAGTGAAGGTCATATTCGTTATCAGGGCATCGGACTACCCCTATAGGCGAAGTTTCATCGAAAATTAAAATTTTGAGTTTTTTGGGGTTGTAATTAGTGGTATAGTACCAAACATTCTATCTTCAGTCGATGCTTCGTGGAGATTCGTGCAGTCCCTTGAAAGATGGAGTGCTAACAGTATATGGCTTTGATAGGCCCAGCTAAGCAATAAAGTGTTAACCTTTTGTGGATATCCCCGGCATCCGACTCCCATTCAGAATCGTAGAGACATTTAAGTGCGCATTTGACCTATAGAAAGTAGTGGGGAGCTTAACCAGTTCGCGATACAACGCTTTATTTTCCCAAGTGAGCCTTTTACAAATGAGTAGACTTCGGAGAGGTGGAAGGTGTCGTTGTCTTAGACGGGTGATCGGTATGGTATTTGAATTTTTGACCATGAATTCGATAGCATGCCAAGTAGCTCTTCCCCTTCTCCAAAAAAATATGTGTACCAGTGGATAAAATGGTCTCGAACAACAGTCCATAAAATCACAGTCATTTGAAAGTTCCACTTTTATTTTATTCTAGTGATGATCTCTGTTAGTGGAGGCAACCAGGCTCATCCCTCTAGGCTGTATCGTAGCACGGTACATGTGTTGCACCAAAACCCTCGGCACCATGCAGTCCAAAGGCAGTTATTTTTGCAACGTAATCCAATCACTTTCTAGATGGAAAATTCGCGGGCAGGCTAACGGCCCACTCCATCACACACTCCCACACATTCAGAATCAGTGTGTGGGTGTGTATATCGGTGTGTGTACCGAGTGTGTGTGTATGCGCGGGTGTATGTGTGTGAATTTGCTCACCCAAGCAGTGAATAAATCTCCTGCCGTTGCTGTCTGTGTGTATGGGATGCATCAATCGAGTTCTAACGAAGTCAGCCAGTCGTGCTGTTTTGGAAACACTCGCACCCATCGATTTGGACACCTCTTCTTTCAGTCAGCTTGAATCCGAACAATGGCTAGCATAGGCTGGCAGTGTATAACCAGCATGACGACTGAAATCATCAACTTTGGAGCATCATAGAAGGAAGATGGCTCTCTTGTAGCGGAGTTAGCAGCAGTATCGGCGGATCCTTGCAGTTAAGACTGGAGTAAGGAGTAAAAACAATCAGGCTTCGCAGGTAAAAGTTGTGCGTTTGGTGCGAGCCAGTGGGAGCCCAACTACTTCGTAGTTTCTCTTTTTCCCTGAAGAATCGTTTTCTTTTCACCCAATCACGAGCTTTACAAAAAAAACCATTTCAAAAGGGACAGGGCAAAATAAACTAAAGGTAACTGCATGACTGGTATAGCACTTAGTGTGGATTAAAACGACCACCTGAAATGAGGAATCTGTCAAATCAATCAACCCTCAAGAAACGGATCTCAAACAATAGGGTTGGCTCAAAGTTTTCCAGCAATGCTAAGTTTCACGTCATTCATAGTGAGGGTGATATTCCCTGCCAAGAAATCCGATTTTGATAACGAAATAAA